TCGACATCTTAGGTCCCCTCCCTGTGAGTCGAGGTCAGTGCAAATTTGTAGTCATAGCCATCGACTACTTCACCAAGTGGGCAGAAGCTGAAGCCTTAGCTAGAATCACAGATCAAAAGATAAAGGACTTTATATGGAAGAGTCTGGTATGCCACTTCGGGATACCGCATGCCATTGTAAGTGACAACGCCAACAATTTGACAACAAACTCCTCAACACTTTCTGTGCAGACCTACAGATCAAACAGCCCCACTCTAGCCCCGCACATCCACAGGCAAACGGGCAGGCAGAGGTCACTGTCAGGACCATACTCTGAAACTTGAAATCCAGACTGGATTCTGCAAAAGGAAAGTGGGTAGATGAACTCCCAAGAATATTATGGGCCTATCACATGACACCAAGGGCTCCTACGGGCGAGACCCTATTCTCCCTAGCCTATAGGTCAGAGGCAGTGATTCCCGTTGAAATCGGGATACACTTCCTTAGAGTGCAGAACCATGATCCTACTAGTAATGAAGAAGGCCTCCGCATCAACCTCGACTTGATAGAGGAGGAGAGGGAGATAGTCATGCTCAGGAATGCAGAGTATAAGCGTTGCATGACCAAATACTACAACTCGAGGGTGAAGTCTCGCACCTTCTTACCTGGGGACTTGGTCCTCAAAGAGGTCATATTATCTACCAAAGACTCCCAGAAAGGGAAACTGGGACCCAACTGGAAAGGACCATACATGGTCACGGAGGTTGTAAGGCCAGACACCTACAAAATTCAGAATTTTGAAGGAACAGTCCTGAGCCACCCATGGAATGCAGAACATCTAAAGAAATACTACTAGTAGCTGGGGGCAGTAAGTCATGAGTTGGTGTCCATTGCGTAGGTTATTTATCTTGTCGGTTAATTTTCTATATTAATCATTTTTCTTCAAATATTTACTTTGAATAAAATTTCTCAATATTTTCTTCAAAAATTGTATTCCATTCAAAAGTCATAGGCCTTTACAAAAGTTGTGTTCAAATCCATGAACTCTTTACAAAAGGATAGACACAGTGTATCAGCAGAACAAAAAAATGCAAAGGCACCACACTCCTAGTGGCTCCCACTACCTCCACTCACGTAGTCCTCATCATCAGACTCCAGGGCCTCATGAGGCTTGAGGTCAGAAAGATCGAAATAAGGGAATGCTACTGAGGCTTTCCTCCTGAGCTCCTCATAGCTGTCAATAAAAGCACTGGCCCTGGCCCTCTCAGCAGCGTTCCTCTGAACCTCTGCTCTGGTGGCTCTCTTAACCGATACCCAAAGGTCAGCCTCAAGTTGGGCTACCTTATCTTCTGATAGCCTCAACCGCTCAACAGCGCTCTCTCGCGTCTGCCGCTCGAGCTCTAACTGTTTCTCGGCATCCTCTCGTGCCTGTCGAGCTAACCTTTCGGCGTCCTCTCGCGCCCGCCGCTCAAGCTCAAGCTGCTCCTCAGCAGCCTCTCGTGCCCGTCTCTCCCTAGCCAAGCTATCAACCGCATCACAGATCTGCAAGGTGTTATTAAATAAGCCAGGCAAGGCAGCAGCCACCTGTAGACATTAGAGATAAGAGTACAACGAAAGTCATAAAAGAAGCTAGAATATGAAAGGAAGCTAGACGCGGAGCAGGGATATAAAACATACCAAAGAAAAACCCTCCACAGTGGCATTAATCATGCCCTCAGGACCTCGGGAGACGATCTCTTGGGCCTCGACTCCGGTCACGAAATCACAGAGTCTCTCCCTTGCCAACCTCACGTCCTGTAGCATAGATAATGGGGGAGCACCCGAAGTGGGACCGCCAATCTGGTCCTCAGTCCTAATGGAAGGTGGCGCCGGAGCCTCAACACCTACAGCAGCGCTAAAACAGTCTCTCGGGGGTGGGGAGGAATCAACCAAAGAAGAAGGAGTAACATCACTAAGGTCAGCTTCTGTGAAGGTAGCTTGATTGGTAGACCCCGGTTGAGAAAAGCTGGGGGTGTTGGACTTCGCCCTCTTGGAAGAAGGAGGAAGGGAAGATGCCACCCTGGAAGTAAAGACTTCCCCCACCACCGACCTATCAATGGGCGGACCTGCAGAGCCAACGCAATTCAAAAAAAAAAAAAAGCCTGCCACATTGAGTCTTTAAGAAGACTACGAAGTGAAAAGAGAATGGGTCAAGTACCTTTCTTTCTCGACCTGGGAGGAGCTATAGAGGTGCCAGACGCCATCATAATATCGGAAAAATCCTTGGTCGGGTTGTTGCGAACCATCTCGAGCAGCCTCTCCTGAATCGGAGTTAGAGTCGATGCAGCTACATGAAGACAAGTGCACCATAAGAATAAATACATGAGGATGGAGACACAAATTAAGGGCAAAAATCTCGCACCTTGTTTCGTCTTTGGAACTGTACTCCATCGTGCGGGCACAAGGTCACGATCGGACTCGGAGGCCCACTCGCCACCAACAAAAAAGAACTTTTTTTTTCATTTATGATGGTTGGATGTAAGCCCGCCAATAAACTTGCCTGATCTTGGGGTGAAGCAGTACCACCCCCGGTGAGGAATAGGATTTTTCGCCAGTGTATATATAGCCAGAAACTCCTCGAACGGTGGAGGGACGGTAGCATTATGCACCAACCGCCATAAGGCAAAGAATGCCGAAATCACCCTCCAACCATTAGGAGTCAGTCTCTCTGGAACCAAAGACAAGTGCCCAAGAATTCGACATATAGGTCTGGGGATAGGGAATTGAAGGCTCGCTTCCAACATGCCCTCGTATACGACAATCTCACCCAAAGAATCACAACATGTAGACTCATTGGCCTCAGCGCAATGGTAAGCCTCGTAGGGTGGAATACATATAATGAGATTATTTCGACAATATTTTCATCATAGTCAAACAAGCTAAATATAGAAGCTACCTTCGAGCCATCGCTTTCTCCAGCAGTTGGACTTCCGTCGGAGTCCTGAGAAGCCTCCCTCTCGCCTGGATGAATAACCGCAAAAGCGAGTTCAGGCCGTAGCTCAGAAAAAATAATTATGACAAAAAAAAAAATGCTACAACATACCTTGAGAGCTAGTCCCATGCAGATCGGTGATCGATCGTTTTTTGGACTCTCAAAGGGGGGATTGCACTACGCCTGGGGCGTCGCCTGTGGCACCGCCCAGCCCAGGACGGGCACCCTCTGAAGATTCACTCCGCCGCCCACCTGTGTTTGGGGTCCCTCTCGATACACTAAAACGATTAATTGAAACCTCTTTGCTCGTGTCAAATCTTGCATTGAGAGTCCCAAAGGTCGCTCGCCAGCCACACCAAAACCAGCGCCAGGAGGGAGACCCAAGCGTCTGAAACCCGAAGGGGTGTTGTCCCAGCCCCTGACGCCGCCCAAGGGGGCGTCGCCCAGGCACCGTCCATGGTCCTTGCTCTTCCCTTGCTTTGCTCAAGTCCACCACCTGCGCTGCAATTGAGCCCACCCGAAGCCTGGGCACCGACCGCTTGGACCAGGATGGGCGTTTGCATCGTTCTCCCCAGACCGCTACATGGAACGGCCCCATGGGCGCCGCCCTGGCTAGCCTTTCCGTCTTCTCCATCTTTAGAGCTCCTCGTCTCCATGATGATTTAAAGAGAGAAATGGGAGAGGGGATAGAAGCAAGGGAGAATGAATGAACAGTAACCCTTGGGGTCTATTTATAGAAGAAGAATGGCTTCTCAAGGAAATCTTGCTAAAACTTCTTGAAGAAGCTTGGGGGAGGCAACTACAAAACAATTGGGAAGGAAGGAAGAAGAATGGGCAAGACATGAACAGTGACCTTTATTTATAGACGAGGATGTAAAAAAAAAAAAAGAAAGAAAGGGAGAGAGGGAGCCCACGCCCAAGAGAGCGGCGCCCCAACAGTCAAGACAAAAGCCAAGGAAAAAAAAATTCAAAGAAAAGTCAAAAAAGGAGGCGCCCAGGAAAAGCCATAAAAAAAAAAAAAAAAAAATTCTGAAGATTGATTAATACAGCGAAATCCTGAAGACGGGAAAGGTTTCGACTCACTCCGATGAAAACGAAGCACATGTCTGCGACCCCTTCCTCTCGAAAAAGTCAGAGGCTCGGGACATGGGGGGCAAATGATGAGTCCGAATTTTACTGGACTAGGCCCAATGAAAACAATCCGAGAAAGTTCGAAGGAAAGTCCAAATCGAAACTGGATCGACCCATTGGAAAGGAAGACATCAAGAGGTCAATGCCCAAAACCCCAAGGCCAACGCCCAAGAGACTTGGCAGCCCTTGGGCGCCGCCTCGGCTGGCCCCTTGGGCGCCTCCCTCTTTGCTCCTCTTCACCTTAGAGCTCCAATCCAAGTCCAAGTCACACCAACTCAAGACAGGTCCAGGATCAAGGCGAGGATCCAGTCCAATCCAGCTAAGAGTCCTCCTCCGAAAGAATAGGAGCACGAGGGAGGAAACATCGGGATAAGCGTAGAGATCTCCTACCATAACTATACTTACCAAAGTAGTAGAAGTCCACTCACCCACGTCACCGCCTTACCCTAACTATATAATGTAAGTCCTCTTAACATTGAGGGCACGCCTCTGAAACCTCTACGGAGTACCATCACTCATCAATAAAGAACACTGGCCACCGCTGCTATTCCCGAAAGTGGAGTAGGTCATCCGAGACCGAATCACTATAAATCTCTGTATTGATTGCTTAATTACTATTTTTATTCTTGATTGTCATTGATTGCTTATTTTTCGTTCATTAATTACACCCGTTCGTATACTTGACTGTTGATCTTGCGTAAAACTGATTTGTGCATCATCAGACAGGATACTTTTTCCCCTGATTCTGACTTAGTCCAAAATAAATAATGCCTGCCCACATATCATTGAAATTCTTAACTTCAATAACTTTTGACGTCTTGGAATCTACATATGGCTGATTAATTGCAACTACTAAAAACATAGTGCAACTGCATAGACTACTTCGAAAAGTTTTTGACCACACGTAAGATTTTCTCTTATGAAGTAAAAGGATTTATTTCACAATTTCTACATTTCCACATGAACTGTGTGACACTATTGCATTTCTCTTTGGTGCTTTTTTGTTGGAATCAAGACACCATTCTGGAGTCATTTTGCTAGATTATAAGACATTCTCTTTCAGGTACCTGTATGTTCGGTGGGGCATAAACTTGTCAAATGTTGTGGTTGTCGTGGGAGAGTGTGGGGACACCGACTACGAAGGATTGCTTGGTGGAGTACACAAAACTGTGGTATTGAAGGGAATCTGCAGCGATGCCCGTAAACTTCATAGTAACAGAAGCTATCCTCTTGAACATGTTCTTCCAATCGACAGCCCCAACATTGTTGAAGCTGAAGGATGCAATAGCAATGACATAAGTGCAGCTCTGGGAAAACTGGGTGTGCTCAAAGGCTAGTAAATTACCGCTTTTCGCCTTCGTTAGATATTTGATTATTTTATAATAAGGTTTGGCTATTGCCGCCTATAATAAGGTAGCCTGGGCCTTTTCATAATAGGGCATTGCTGCCATTTTTGTATAATCTTGTATGTTTTTCTTTGCTAATGGCGAAAGGTAGGTCTGCTAGTGTGTGTGATCTAGAGAGTTAAAAGGTTTTGAGTGGTAATGTTTGCAGGCCGACATTTTGTATACTGCCAGAGTTTAGCCTAATTTCATTTGTAGTAGCAGAAGTCAACCTTTATGTTGTTTTATCGTATTTTAATGATTAATATTCTCGTTTTGATATTTTTGTACATCCGAATAACAATACTATTTGTGGGTATATGATACATTTCAATTATGTTTAAAATAAAAAGCACTACCGTTAAGAAAAAAAGAAGAAAATTAAGAGAAATGGATTACTACTTTAGGATATGGTTATATTTGAATGAGATGAGATTTTCAATCTTAAAACGATTAAGCTCTCATTTTCAATTTGAAAACTAATTTTCAAAATTTTCTTTTTTAATAAAGTAGTCGTAGGGTGGCTAGTGACAATAGTTGTAACTTCTAACACTTCCATTTGTAGTGCTCCTTGCCTCCGCTCCGAAAAAACATTCCGGTATTTTTACTCATAAAACTCGTCTCGCTCCAAATATGATTTCATCTTGATACTAACTTTAACAATATATATTAAGAAGTATTTTTCTTTTCTCTTGATTCAAAGGACTATGTATGCAGTGTTACCATTTCCTTCTTGTTGTAGTTCAGGGTCAACCCTAGTGGAATCAGAAGAAGAGGTTTAAACCGTACTTTCCAGTTTGTACAAATACTAAAGAAACAATAGAGAAAGCAGTTTGTTTCAGTGAAATCCAACAAAGAGAATTCCAAAAGAGCAAAGCAGATGAGTTTCTCTTTTTCAAAAAAAAAAAATTATTTTGGAAATGGGAAAAGCAGTTGAACTGAGAGAGAGAAGATCAACGATAAATGTAGCAACAAAAGGCAAAAAAAGAAAGAAAGAAAAAACAGAGAGATAAGAGGGCTTAACACAGCAGAGCTCATGAACGGTCATGGTTTAGAATCCCACATCGACTCCGTAGAAGAGAAGGAGAAGCAAGATAGGCTTATAAAATGAGATGGTTAAGCCCACTTACAACATACTTACCTGGACGGGGTTAATGGGTGATCACTAAGGCCCATAGCCTAGGTTGAAGACTTCCATTGCACTTTGGAGGGGCTTTAGTCTAAGGTCTGTCTAATGGGCAGAGCCTACGTCATAATTTGTGTTAGAGGGGGCCTGCGTTCGCGCGGCCCCTGACCAAGAATAATATAAATATTGGAAGCTCTTTGCAGTGGGCTTCAAATAATTTCAAAAATGTGTTGGGCTTGGGAAGAGTTGTTTGTAATTAAATAAATGACAGCTGGCTCTGTTGTACGTATTCTGTGTGATGTGCAGAATTTATCACCTTATTACTAAATCGTGGTTTTTAAAGATTATCATAATATATATGTGGATAATTTTTATTAATATTAAAATGGTATTATCATAATATTATATTTTAAATAATTAAAAAATATTTAAAAGTTTAAATTCTAAAATAATATAAAAAATTGGTTAGAGTGATTACAAAGAACACATCTATTGTTTTATTTGGAGTGAATTAATTAAATATTTTAAAATTTTAATGGAATAGTATTTAGGGAAAAAAAAAACTATCTCAAGACTTCTCATATCTAATTTAATAGTTTTATAATATAGTAAGATGGGTCTCTAAATTTTTATGATAATTACTTATAAATATCATTAAGAGGAAGAGGATACTTTTTGGTACTGCTGACAATTCGCACAAACAGTAGCAGAAATATAATCACATTCTTCTTTATTTTTGGGTAAATGCAAGTTTATAGGGCATATTTCTTTTCCATTAAACAAAAACTGTTTTCTATTGTTTTACAAGTTTCTTTATTTTATTTTCTTTTTGGAATGATGAGAAATTTTAATCCGTAATTTTGGTAAAGTTTGTGGACACACGCACACAAATATTATATGAGTGAAGCCTATAAAAATCTCCTCGAAGTTAGGTTTATACTCTGTTTGGTACGATGGAAAAATAGGAGAATAATAAGTTGGAAGGATGAAAAATTAGAGGAATAAATAAAACATCATGTTTGGTAAAAAAAGAAAGTAAGAAGGATGAAAAAAATTGATGAATTAACTTTCTTTCCAACTCACCATAATTAATCCCTCCAAAATCGGAAGAAAAGTGGATTATTTGTGTTAAAATATATCTTATTTGTCTATATATATTTTTATATATACATATATTATGTATACATTATATATATAAATATATTTTAAATTTTTTTTTAAAAAAATAAAAAAATTTAAATAATTTTTTTTTTCCATCTTAGTTAAGGGTGAAAATTTTCAACTCAACGTAATGACACGAGTCAAACTCGATACGAAAATATACAGATCAATTCGTAACTCGGTACGACATAATTAGTTAAATGAGTTAAGTTAAGTTTGACTAATATTTGATACAAATTCGTAATGACTCAATCCGATTCGATTGTCATTCCTAATCTTAACAAGAAAAAAAAATAGTCATTTTTATTTTTCATCCATCTCAACCAAACACAAAAGAAGGAAAATGTATAATTCATATTTTTCCTCTTTGAATAATAGAAAATATATTCTTTTTATTTTATATTTTTTCTATTTTTTATCTTTCTTGCCGAATGAAACATTAATGTTAAATGGGTGAAATTCACAGCAATATAATTTTTTTATTACTTTCTGAATGGTAAATCAAAGGTCAAACGATAGCTTGACAACCATCACCTACTTTGAGACTTCCAAACTTGTAAGGTGCAATGTTTAGATATCGGTGTTATCCAACCATAAAAGGGTGAGGTCTATCTTGTTTTCGAGTCTTAATCTCATTTAAACACCCCCTCCTTCATGAGCCGCAGCAGCTACAACACATAACCCTTTCTCAGGATAAAGTCCCACACCTCTCCAATCTCCATATTCTGAGAACCCAGAAGCAATTCTTTAAACCAGAGACGAGTAAAAAAATGGCCACACTCCTAAGATTCTACAAACCCTTGTTCCCAATACGCCCCTCTTCACTCTTTCCCCCACCAAGGCTTATTTACACCCACACCCATAAAATCTCAATCGCCGGCACCACCACCGTTAAGAAGTGTCACAAAACCAGAATTTCGCGTTTCAGTTTGATGTGTCATTCGGAGCCATTGATGAGCGAAAATGGTATCAGAGAGATCAGCATTGGTGGAGCCGGGAATAAATCAAGGGAGCTATGGCTGTACAATACGATGAGTAGAAAGAAGGAATTGTTTAAGCCAAAAGTAGATGGTAAAGTGAGCATGTATGTGTGTGGTGTCACCGCCTATGATCTCAGCCACATCGGCCATGCCCGTGTCTACGTCTCCTTTGACGTCCTTTACAGGTCCCGCCTCTCTCTCTCTCTCTCTCTACAAATATTTCTGTGTGAAAATTTCATTCTGGGGGGCAAAAAGTATATCAGTTCAGACATTTGTGTCGCAGCAATGTCCAAACGCGGCATAGTTGGAAGGATTTTTTTTCAAAAGGGTGACCCAGGAGCCTCCTGCTCGCTTGGTCCGACATACACAGCCTTACCAAAAGCGAGGCTGAAAAAATGAATTTAGATGATAGGTTTACGGTAGGTGCCACAAGGCTATCTCCAACCTTAACTCAAATATTTAAAGGAGGACAGACTCATTTAAACAAGTGTAAAATATGACAGTTGGATTTTAAAAAATTGGGAGATTTGAGTAAAGATTTTGGGTCACCCTTGATATGAATCAAAGTTTGAGTCTACCTTCATCGGGTATGAGTCTGAGTAAAAGACTGTAACTTATTTTAGCCTGTTAATACTTAAAAATTTAAATTTGAGTCATGGTTAAGGGTTGAAGATGCTAAAAAAGTTATTGTTTTGCTTGGACAGCAAAAAAATTTGTAGTTTCAGTCTATATAAGCTCCCAAAAGTGTAATATTACTTCTGAAATGGACCTCAGAATGGTACTTAACCAAATAGTTAAGTATAGCTTAGGATTTGAGAGAAATGGTTTCAATGTCTTTTTTTCCCAATGCCTTCTCAGTATCCAAGCATTATGTTTCTCCAAAGAGAAGTTTCAGTTTTTTTCTTGCTCACTTTTCTTTGAGCATGTGTGGTCTAACAATAAATGTGTAGAAACTAATTGGAGTTTCTTGCTGTGGTTTTTGTTTGAAACCAGGCAGATACCTTAAGTATCTGGGATGTGAAGTTAATTATGTAAGGAATTTCACTGATGTGGATGACAAGGTAAGTAAATTAATACTCAGGAACACTGGAATTATACTTCTAGCATTGTTCTTTTGCTTGTTTCCGTCTACTATATGAATGTGTTTTAGAAAGATTCTGGGCATTCCTTGCTAAGTATCTGACTTTAACTCTCATTTATTATCGGGATTATCTATGAAGTTCTTAATATGTACTGGAGGCAATTCTGTTGGAGAGGATTCTTTTGATATTGACAGTGTCTGCATGGCTGGTGGTCTTGTTGAGAAAATGAATGGTGTTTACATACTCATGGGTGAAATGTAACCATTAGAACCATGCAAATGAGAGTTGTCCATGTGCAGCATAAGGTTTTACTTTAGTTGACGTAATTCAACAACCGTGTAGGAAAAATCCATGGTTGAAGCTGTGAGAAACTTACGGTCAACTCCATATTTGGCCCATATGGGACGGACATAACAAAGTGGTGTTGGAATTTGTAGTTGCTGGGGCCGAATTGTTGCCAGTGAGATGGGCATTACAGAAGATTTTTTCTTCTTGCATTTGCAGGAAAAATATTAAGCCTTGGAGAAAGCTGCACACTCACTTTTCCATTCTTTGTTGGAGAGAATACGTTAAATACGATCTGTCTAGTTAAAGATTCTTAGTGAAACAGTGAAAGTTGGATCCCAAATTGCTGACCCATGCATGATCCAGGGTCTACCATACCAAAATGGAACGGTCTATGATTTGGATCATTCAAATTTGTGACCTCAAATTATATCATTAACACCAAATTGATCCACAATCTAAGTAATTCCAAATTGTAAACCTCACTAAATTGTAACCATAACTAGTATTTTGTTTATTTATTTTGGTGATCTTTAAACTTACATTTTGATTTGTTGTGATCTGAATGATCTGTAATACAAATATGCAAAAAACTTTTATTAATCATAAGTATTGGCCAGTATGTTATTGTGGATTATGTTTTGCTCTGAAACTATTTTCCTAAATATGAAATTAGTTGACTTTGTATTTGAGAAAGCATCCTACCTCGTACCGATACTCGTACTACATACCCAACTATGTACGAAATCAACTGACGATTATGATAACATTAGAATATGGAGTAATGCTCTTCCCTAGAGCCCATAATAAAGAAAGTACAAGGATGTGTTGCCCCAATTATTCAACACCTCTTGACAGCTAAAGTTTCATTACAAGCATGTCAGTCAGCTTTCCTTTGGTTTCTCTAGTATCAAGAATTTGTTGATACTGTGGGAAAAACAACTAGAAGGTTTCTCTGCATTTTGACAATTAAGGTTTTTGCATCCATAGATTTAGAAGGCTATGGCTGACACATATGCCAGAAGAGGGGAAGCACTTAGAAGGTTGCATATTTGTTTGTTGATATGCACATTAGCAGAACCTGGTTTATCTGGCATTTATTGGGTTAGAAAACTAGATGGTGAAGGGAAAGGAGCTGTTCCTCCTCGGTGAGACACAGTGCATTGACTCAAATAAATTACGCAGGTGACAACAAAATTACACATGTGGACTATGTGTGTGTGTGCATATATGCACAATAGTAAAGGAGATTGATAAAGATAGAAAGTTTTTCAAGAATGAGGGACAAGGTCTCTGAAAATTTTTGTTTATCATACTCCAGTTTATCTTTTCAGGTTGTCCTTTTGATTAATTTGAAACTTATATATAGTGTGACAGCGATACTGAACTATTGTTTCTTGATTATATACTGTCTTGACTGCAAATATTATGACTTCCATGAGTGATTGATATGAGTGGAGTATACTCAGTGTTGTTATTCTTTACGACTGCAAGTACCGACTGCTTGTTATGTATGTCTCAGGATACCTGAGTCTGCAATTTTCAAATTCTGTAGATTATTGTCAGAGCAAATGAGTTGGGGGAGGATCCCATTAAGTTGAGCAGACGATATTGCGAAGAGTTTCTTAGGGATATGATGTATCTTTGTTGCATGCCACCTTCTGTAGAGCCTCGTGTCTCTGATCACATCTCCCATATCATTGATATGATAAAACAGGTAATTCGTTTTTTGAGAAATCCCCGTGGCCTCTTTTTGGCACCGTTTAAATTTCTTGCCAATAGATTGCTGTACTTTCATACGAATTCGATCATCTAATTCTAAGAGTTAAGTCTGTTTCTCTGATCACACACGTTTTTAAGTTTCACCACAATGTGGAACAAATTAGTGTTACCTGTCTATGTACATGTTTCAGAAATCCTGATTGTTACAATCCTACTGCCACACTGCACATGACTGTAATTTCCTTTGTTTTTTCTCCAGTGTCAACCTTTCTGTCTAAAGAAATTTAGAGGACAGTCGGAAGATTTTTCTTTTGGAAGGATTAGTTTTATTGGACCTTTAACTGATTAGTATTACTGAAATAGACAAGGTTGAGATCATTGAAAAATTGATTTCATGTGATTAATGAGTGTGACTTGATTGTAATTTTCATCTCTTTCATTTGGATGCCATAAACTACCTTTCCTCTTGGACTTGGTTAGACGTTGGGGAGTTGGATATTTCTTTTTCTCTAGATACTTATTTGCAAATGAATACTTCAGGTCATCCACAAGGAAAGAGGAAATCTTCTTGCTTATTAAACATAATAGGCTATTCTTCTGTTTTGTTTCTTTTTTGACTTCATGATGAGTTTCCTTGAATCTGCAATAATGAAGTTTACTTTGGATGTTTTACAGATTCTTGATAATGGGTGCGCCTACCAAGTTGATGGGGATGTGTATTTTTCTGTGGATAGGTTCCCAGAATATGGAAGATTGTCAGGCCGAAAATTAGAAGATAATCGAGCTGGTGAGCGGGTGGCAGTGGACTCAAGGAAGAGAAACCCCGCTGATTTTGCTTTATGGAAGGTAATTGTTCATTATTAATAATGCACATGGACATACTACATGTGATGTGTCAAATCATACGAATCATCAAAACTCGATCTGACATGTGTTTCTGCTTGATTGTAAACTTATTCTAATCTATTATATGATAACTAGATTTTAAGTGGGGTTTCCAGTTTACGCAACATGTTTTATTAGTCAAGGAAGGTTAAGTTTACTTATGCCTAATATAAATTCAGCTTCACAACTTGCCTATCTGTTAAAAGTAGCAAGTCATCAATATAATTAACATATATACTTTATTATGTTGACTCTGCATATTTAGGCCTTAAAGAGACTTCACACAATGCCCTGTAGTAGGCATCTATTTGCTTTCTCGACTTCATCTAGATCCATTGTAGTGTTGTTCAGCTTAATGCTTTCGCATATTTTATGGTACTCTGTAATCTGTATTGCGTAAGTTTATGCATGCAAGTGTTTGCATTGATATATTAAGGGACACAGTGTTATGACTCTTACCCTCCTTAAATTAGGGAGAATTTGTGTACAAGTTGCTAAAATTAATAATATAGACTGTGTAATAATATTGTGAGTGCGCTAAAGCAAACTATAACAAGAGTATATTGATATCAAATAGTATATGGTAGAGGCTGTGGCAACATTTTCTACCATAATGTTACTCCTAAGTGGACAACTACTTATATCTTCATCATGATTTTTTTTTTTGCAGACTAGTAATACTAAAATGACAAAAGCCCCTACAATTAGTTCAGAGACGGATGTGTAATATTGGTGTTACATTAATTCAAGGGTATCCTAGTGGGCTGATCTCTGAGTCATACAATGTAAAATGGGCTTTACTATTACTATACCAACCTCAAAGTTAGTCTGCTTATTGTTTAATTATCACATTTTTTGTATGTTTCTTGGCTATATTTCAATTGCAGTGAACAAATCCAAAATAAATATGATGCCATGTTGCTATATAGTGGCCAACAACTATGACACCTCTAGTGAGCAGTACAAATATGGAAGCAATGTTGTTTTGCTTTGTTATAGTTCATATCTAATGGGCTTCCACGTTCAAATAAAGCATTTTTGCATTGCATAAACTGTTGCTTCTTTTCATAATCAAGATAGTGAAAAACTGGAGAAAAAATTGAAATGAAGCAACATATGTAAATTATGTCTATCATCATTTTAGGATAACTAGTGTGGTGCTTATCTGTTTTCAGTTTTGTGAACTGCAGAAAGCACATATTGTGCTGCTGGTTGTCTAATAATAGTTCCATCCCCTATCTAGTGTGAGTGTGTCTTAACTTTATTTTATTATAAGATAGAAAATATTGGTTTTTATGTGCTCTGTCAATTGCCATAGTACGTATTACTATGGTCTATTTACTTTCATGCAGTCTGCAAAGGAGGGGGAACCTTTTTGGGAGAGTCCTTGGGGTCCTGGAAGGCCTGGATGGCATATTGAGTGTAGTGCCATGAGTGCTGCATATCTAGGCTACTCTTTTGATATACATGGTGGGGGGATGGATCTTGTGTTCCCCCACCATGAAAATGAAATTGCTCAGAGTTGTGCTGCATGTGACAAGAGCAACATAAGCTACTGGATGCACAATGGTTTTGTCACTGTAGATTCCGAGAAAATGTCCAAGTCACTTGGAAATTTTTTCACGATTCGGCAGGTAAAATGATACTATATGGTGGGGAACCACCCTTTTTATTTACCAAGTTCAGGACCTTAGTTTAGTATTTAGTTTTGAATGAGCTTCAACCTTGTTAGGTTCTTGAAATGATAATACATGACTTTCACTCAGGTTATAGATCTTTATCATCCATTGGCATTGCGACTTTTCTTAATTGGGACACATTATCGATCTCCGATCAACTACTCAGATTCACAGCTCGAAAGTGCGTCTGACCGTGTATTTTACATCTATCAGGTATCATAATCCTTATTTTCAGTAAAAATAAACACTAATGTGCTCTCTTTCTCTCTTCACCATTTGAGAAACCGTCCATATCTAGCTTGGATAATGTTGCTTCCTCTGGTTTTGAGATTTGATCTGGTCATTCACTGTTTCAATCAGTCACATGGGGCTACCTCTTTTTATGACTTCTGCATGTCCTGTGTCCTGAACCACAAGCTTGAAAACCCCTTTTGGGTCTGGTGCAAATTTGAGAGGAATGCACAATCAAGCATTATATTTTAACATGTTTTGATAAAAGTGGGAGATGATGGTGAATATGTTAATCATTTTTATGAGGTTTCTTTGGTCACAGACTTTACATGATTCTGAAGGCATTTTAAGCCAGCATGATGGGGCAAGCTGGAAGAACTCCATCCCATCGGCAACAGTGAACTGCCTTAATAAATTTCATGATGAGTTTCTGACATCAATGTCAGATGATCTTCACACTCCTGTTGTTTTGGCTGCACTTTCTGACCCATTGAAGATTATCAATGATCTTCTCCATACGCGCAAGGTACCGGGATCTTAGAAGAACTTTGTACAACTTCGTATATGGGTTTAATTTTGGAGATGTATGAATGTTTTATTTTTATTAAATTCAGGGAAAATATTTTTATTTAACGAAACTAAAAGCTTTATTTTTTTTTAAATTCAGGGAAAATATTTTTATTTAACGAAATTAAAAGCATATCTTTTTTTTCCCTTGAAAATTCAATTATGGGTGTGTGACAAGTGGTTGGGTTTGGAGTGCAAACTCAGAATTCGACTTGCAAATCTGGACAAACTGAGGAGTGTTTCCCTTGGAAAGTGGATGGAGCCCTGTCGAAACATTGAATACGGTCTGAGAGCTGAATCGACCATAGCACAGTTGAAGAAAGAATTCCGTTTTATCCCTTTTTTCCAGCCCAAGTTGTACCTCTGCTTATTACTTAAAGGATCTGGAACTGTTTTGGGAATTGTTCTTGTCTTAGTTTTGACTTGGATCAACTATTTTTTTGTTATATCAGCTTGCAGTACAATTTTTGTAACTCTGGGGTTGTTAATTTGAAGCAAACTTTCTAGTGTTCTTATAACTGACTGAATGCCCATGCAGGGGAAGAAGCAAGAATTTCGTGTAGAGTCGCTTGCAGCTTTAGAAAAGACAATCAAGAATGTTCTGTATGTATTAGGACTCATGCCAACAAGTTACTCTGAGGTATCGAAAATGTGAATCATTCTAGAAATTGTTCTGTTGTAGTAGGTCAATCTCCAAAATTAGCACTTTGAGGTAACTTAATTCTAGTGAGTACATAAGTGGTAATTTTTGCACAAATGTCACAAGTCATTTTTAAAATTATACACTTCTTCTGGTGTTTCCTGTTTCGTCATCCTGGCGTGCAGTAGTTTACTTTGATGGAATTTGTTCTTGATCCTCCTGTACCTCAATCATTACTACTTGTTTTCTTGCTTATGGCAGCTTGCTGAATTCTCAGTTCCACTCATTTCTCCATATTATTATGTAACTAAGTTTCTTACTATTTTACAGTGCTTTATAATCCTTGAATCCTTTCCAGGTTTTGCAGGAGCTGAGGGAGAAGGCGCTGAAGCGTGCTCAGTTGACTGAAGATGAAGTTCTGCAGAAAATTGAAGAACGGAATACTGCAAGGAAGAACAAAGAGTATGAAAAATCAGACACAATTCGGAAAAATTTGGCTGCGGTGGGTATTGCTCTCATGGACAGCCCTGAGGGCACCATGTGGAGACCGGGTGTTCCGCTTGCATTGCAAGAACAGCAGGTTTCAACAACTTGAATCTTGTGGGGTCATCATTGTCTTAACCTCGCATGACGACATAATCAGATTTGGCAGTCAACTGTTTTCTCCAAATCAAATTAAGAATGGTTTTAGAATTTTTAGATGTGGGCTGAATTCTCTGAGGTAAAAATTTACTGATAGGAGAAGAGGAAGCCGGTAGCAGCGGAACTGCTGGTAATGTAATGAGACATTTGTTCAATAAAAAGCCATGCATTTGTTGCTAATATGCATCGGGTTGTCTGGTAATTTTGGTTTGCCAAATGTATATTTATTTTCCATGTGTGTATGTGAAATGTGGCTTCTATTTTTGTGGGTGGGATGGGATTGCGATGCGGTGGTTAAACTCTTCTAACTTTTGGCTTCAATGTTGACTTTGATATCTTGATTATCTATGGTTTTGTAACATCGCAATATTCTGTGCGAGTGTCTATATGTGCAATGTGAATTCTATTTTTGTGGGTGGGGTGGGATTGCGATGTGGTGGTTAAACTCTTCTAACTTTTGGCTTCAACATTGACTATGATATCTGGATTATCTGATAGTTTTGTAACATCAGATTCCTTTTTTAATTTTATTTGCTGTGTGAACCAAGTTGCTGGATCTGCAGAGACACTGCCAGAATATTAACGGGGAGACATTTCAATTGCAAGTCTTGGCTGGGAGGGTATATTTGCTCATACCTCTGGCTTGGCTCTATGGGTAACAAGTGGGACTTGCTCTGTAATATGTTCCATCTTTCCAATTCCAGGAACACACCAAATATTGCATGGCTTCGTCTGCCAAAAATAGATGATGATCATACCACATTGATGGTATAAGGAGCCTAGAAGATAAATGTTGAGAGGAGGAGACTATATCTTATGAACATGTTAGTAGAGAGGGAAAACTGCAGCGCCATGTATTTTTGGGCTTCTTATCCTTGTTCTAATTAGAGTCTGTTTAGATAGAATAGTCAGTTCTCTGTTTAAAACCCCTTTGGCATTCATTACAATCCATTTGGTGTTCTGATTTCTATTGCTTTGACTGTTGGTGTCAGGTGGTAGCCTGGAGAGTGCTGCTGGGGCAAATCCTCAGCATCAATAAACCCTTGGTAGTTGCGATTTTGTTCATCTACATACAGGTAAACCTAAATATTGCTTTACCTGCATTATTTCGGCTCAATTGTTCTTAGTAAGACTTGTTCAAAATTTCTCACAAGCAGTTATCAGTATTTTTTATAATCTAGTAGCAGCTGTAGTAACTTGGTTAGGCTCCTGTTCATGAAACATGAGAAAGCAGTGCAAATATCAGTTGCTTTACCCTGTATGTTTTTCTCTTTGATTAGTTCTGTCTTACTTCTTTCAGACTCTTCACAATCCCAGCCTCAAAAATGAAATCAAAAAATACCTGTTGACGAGTCCCAGCTTCCTGTGACTATCATAACCTATGTAATTTTTTCTCGACCTCGTCTACCCCCTATTTTCTTTTTCATTCTTTTCATGTGGTGTGACGCCCAGGCAGATGTCAGATGGTTCTACCCCATTTTTTTCTACAGAACTACACACTAGCAATTTTGTAAATCATCATTAACTATATTTTTTTGGTGTCTATGTGGTTTTGAAGATGGACCAAGCTGCAAGTACCTTTGTTTGAGTAGCTCTTTGCATGCATGTACCATAATCCCATTTTTTTTTCACTTTATTGCATAACTTCTTCTTCTTTGAAGTGATATAAAAGCATCACATTTGATATTCGCATCTTTTTAGTTCAAATTAGCGGACAGGATTTACATAATTTGGTCAACCCTACGTACAAGCAGGGACTTGAATGGTGGGAATGTGAGCAAATACAATAGAGAATGGGGCAGCTGTTATTGGGTCTGAGAGATTTTTTTCTATGGGTTCCAAGGGAGGGATTATCCCAGAAGAATTTACAGTTAGTATTTTTCCATTTAGGAGAACTGTTTGGCTGTGTAAATCCCCATTTTGGGCTGTTAGGTGGTATTCTTCTCTCATAATCCCACCAATTCTAGAATTCCGAGGCATCCTTGCAAATTTTGATCTCCCAGTTTCATGTGTGAGTTGGAGTGTTGATGTCTTGTTTGTGATTGCATTTTCGACTGAAACTCCGATTTGAACTGTGGTGTTGCCGTCTAGGTTGATCAAGAGCAATGTGATTCCCTGCTGCAACATGTAAACTCAATGAATTAGTGTGTTAGACATCCAATATAAGCATGCATAAGATACATACATAAATGTGTGTGTGAATTTTTCGTTGAATGTGTAGAATTTACTCACCGATTGTTTTGAACAGTGTGAATATGCACGCAATTTCTTTGTCCCTGAGAAGCTTGTTGGCAGAACATTTCTTCCCATCAAACGGTGCCAAAGAAGAGCACTGCATGATAATATCGGTAGGCATCAAAACAAGAATCCTTTTGTTTGTGTTTATGTTGAGATAACCTGATTCAAAAGGTGTTTATACTTTCCTAATAAGGGCCCAAAAGACTGCTTAAACTAGCACTGAAATAAACTTTCTGGAACAGGAGACGTGGACAAGGGACTACATATGCCCAGGAGGATTAGGTCGGTTTTCATTGCTAGTTTTGACTCAAGTTTTCAAAATGAAGTCTAAAACTTACCACCTTCTCTGCAACACTAGGAAGTTTGAGGTAACGAAAGTATCATTTTATAACACTTCCTTTAAAGTACTTTTCTTTGTCCAGGTGTGTTTGCTTTTGTCGCATGTATAGTAGTACATATATGTATTTAAATAAATGTATCATTTATATACTAAGATGCATATATATCACTTTTCCAAAATAGTAATCAAATATGATTTATGTTTGTAGCGAAATTGTTTGTTTCATGAAAAGAAATTGAAATAAACATTATCGAATGGTACATAACAATATTAGATTTATGAACTACCTGTAGTAATCAGGATTCGGAACAAAGGTGTCAGTGTTTAGTAGGCCATAGTTTCCACCAATCAGTGATTGCCTACAGTATGTTTTGGTATCATAGGATGATGCCATCCCAAGTTGATCCAAGTACCTGATTAGTTGAAATAAACAAGGTTAGTCCTCCACAGACTCTCCAAAAAAAAGGTTTTAGTTTAGAGCTAACTTACCAAAAGCTAAACACAAATGCATTAGTGACAAGGTTATGTCCACTGTTATAAGCTCCTCCAGCCTCACCAACCCATGCTGTTGTTGAAGTTCCCAAACTCTTAAGAATGCTTTGGAGATTGCTGAAAGGCTGAGATCCACCATCCAGATAGGATGGGTCAAGTATCTTGTCAATTAGGTGATCATCAACTCCTATATACAAGAAAAATGTTTCTCTCTTTTTTAATTGCTTTACAATACCAAGTACATTATTGAGGTACAAGAGAAAAAGACGAATATGATGAACAAGTTTTTTGCATACAACGCGATCTATGAGAATTATGTAGTAGCAGGGAGGGTCAAAGCGTGGGAGGGCCTGCCCCTGCCCGGGGGGGGGGGGGGGGGTGCATTAAGTTGCCCATCTTATTTGGAAGACAATTCAATTCAACTCAAATCAACGCTAATATTTATTTGGGTGCTTAGATGTAAGATGCTACAGAATGAACATGTAATGGAAAATTGTAAAGATGCCAAAATATTTGTTTAATATATACCTGGACCAAGGTTATAAATGTGGTGTGTGATGGCTTGAAGAGAGTTGTTTGTTTGCTTTACGAATTGTTGGAACCAATTAGCATCAAAGAATCCTCCTGGTCCAAGGACCAGGGGCTTAATCTCAAATCCCCTGTAGATGTCTTGCACTTTGTTTTGAAGACCAATCACATCTGAAGCATATTGAGCCGCTGAAATGCTTGTTCCAATTCCACTCCCACTCAGTTCATTCCCTGTTAAGCAACTCTGGTTTTGCATCAATTTTATTGACATAGATACTCAACTCAACAAAGCTGTTTTCTCAATTATTTTTTGGGGTCGGGTTTCATATGACATGAAATAGAAAATATACAAAAAAAATAATTTAATCATCTCATCCATGGAGGAACCTTTTTCAAAATGACAATGATGAAAATGGAACTTAATGTTGAAGTTGTAAGCACAATGTAGGATGAAGATAGAGTCGATCTAAATTTGGGCAAATTTTTTACTTTCACCTCCTAAACTTGTCTCCAGTCTTATATTACCTCATCCACCATCACATTTCTGACATTATGGTTATTGGTTTCACATCGTCATACTTCTAACACTTTATCTCTAACTTGATCATTGATTTCATATTGGCTCAATTGCATACATTAGAAATGTGTATTTTACTATACGCATGGGCATTTTGCATGGGCATTTTCCATCGAAAAAATAACAGATGTTTGGTTTGCTTATAAATACACCTCATGACATTGATTTTTGTTTTTTTGGTCAGACACTATTACAGAAGGAGGACAATGAGGTTTGAACTGGCGACTTTAAGGTCCAATAGCAGGGGTGGTGGTTATTAGGCCAACTGCTAACTTCAAGACATTGGTTAGTGAAACTATTAAAAGTGTTCTTACCAAGCTCCCAGCCATGGATTGTATAACCCTTGTTGACACTGTATCTGATCAGACACTCTGCATTACTGGAATTCCATGCTCCTACAGCAGAACCATCAGAACCTATTGTTCTGCCGGTTAATGCATTGAACCCGAAAATTACCTTTGCTCTGTATACACAAATAAATGAATGGAAATCAGTGTACAATACCAAGGTTCATATCAACAAAACTGATTGATTTTTTTTTTTTTAAATCTAAAGATTTGCTTTCATTCAGCAACTTGAATAGTGAGAAGGGTTGGTACCCTGCCATTTTGAAGAATCCGTTTAGGTCGTCCCATCGGGACATCGGTAAGCAACCTTCCGTGAACCCGAACATCTCTGCATTGTTTCTAACAAACTGAGTACATGGTTGTGCATTGCCTATGCTTTGGTATGTGACTTTGTCTTGCAAAGTGCCACCAAGTCTAATTTTTAGGGGAGAGAAAGCTGAACAACAGCAAAAAAATTAAGCTATAACCTTTGTTTACAAGAAAAGATGAATATATGGGTAATTAATTTACTGTTTTTACAAGTTTTAAGTTGAAAATTTTCTAACCTTTGATTGCATTTAACAAAATTTTGTTCCCAAGATCCTACAAAAAATAATGGATAAAATGAATGATATAATCAAATTGTCTTGCAATGTGCAAAATACTACTTATCCAAACATAATGGAAGACAATGCGAACTTACCAGGGGAAAAAAAAAGAAAATAAAGGGAATGCAGAGAGCAAAAGGACTATACAGCCTAAAAAACGTCGAGACAAAGTTTTGTTGAGTTGAGAGAGAGAGAAAGGATTGATAGTGATGCATTTTGACTATATGTAGGTATGTTATGTGATTATGCTGCTAGCAAGCTACCATGAGATGAACTATTTATGATAAGGCTTCGTTTGCTTCCCACGGGTGATCGTGTATTGGTGGGACTCATCTGCATAGTGTGTATTACTTGAATTTATGGTGGACAATCTACCATTAAAAGAAATTGATGAAAAGTGCATTGAAGGTGATTCAAATCCGTTATTCTAATTATAAACTTATTGACACTTTTTCATCTTTGATTATGCTCTCTAAACCCTTATTTAGATGCAGCAAGCCTTGTTTTTGTAAATGTCGACATCTTTTTGTTAAATCAATGCGAAATCTTTAGGGACAGGAAATCTTTTTGTCCTAGCCATTGACATCTTTGAAATCGTACTATAGACGAGAGTTTTATGTATTGAGTTCGATATTTTCTATTATAAAAATATAAGAACAAAATATTATTTATTTATTTATTTTTTTGATCTTTTGGCTTTGATATGGATGATGAACATATCACTAATTTGACACGAAACAAATCAATAAAGAAATTCAAAGTTAAATTTTTATGAAGCCAATTATAAACATAATGAAGAAACAAAAAAGCAAAAAATGCAAACAGCACCAGTCCACTACCACCACCATGAGAATTACCCAATAGAATTCGAATTCAACATAACACAACCCCTTTGAGAGGCCTAACCACCGCCGCCGCCACCACCACCACCAAAACAATTATTACCCAACAGAACAGAATGAAGAAGAAAGTGGAAAAGCTAACCAGATTAAGAAGTGAAGCCATGCCCCAGCTGCAAGTTCCATAGTCACATTTGTCTGGAGGCCACCAATCCAATGTAGCACAAATGAAGTCTTCATAAATCCTACCAATTGAGGCTGTCCCATTTATGTAAACTGTGCCTTCAGTCACAGCCCCCCCGGTTGTTTCCGAGACCGCAGTTTTTGAGCCATGGCCAGCCAAGAAAAGCAATAAACACAACCCCAGAAGATTTAACAGATAACCCATTTGGTAAAGATATTGATTTGGTTGAGTCTCTGTCTTTGTACTGGCCATGAGAAAGCATGGACTGGATGGTTTATATACTGAGACTCTTGTTGGCCTGGCTGAAGAGTTTTTAATATGAGAGAACAGGTAGACAGGGAGGGAAGGACTGGGGAGAGGGAGAGAGAGAGAGAGAGAGAGAGAGAGTTAAAGTCTTTTACAAAGAACACAAATTGGAAATGGGATGATCCAGGGTGAAAACTGGATATTCAATGTTTCTCTGGCTCTGGAAACAATCAGTTTAAACATATTTGTATGTTGGAATTTTCTAAGTAATATATAAATTATCTTGAAGTTAGAAATATTATGCTACTGAGGCTTTGAAAATATAAACATATTCTGTTACCCAACTGGGGTAACAACTTGTTTTGTTTTTTTTTTTTTTTGTGGGGGGGGGGGGGGGGGAGGTGATTGTGGCAGTATGAGGCAGAGAAAAATATGACTTAAATACAATAGAATTTGGGGTTGTAATGAATTGCTTCTTGAACTTTAATACTTGTTATTAAAACCAACACCCACTATTTAATACTTGTTATTAAACCAACTTTTACTTGTTATCAAACTGAACCTGTTATATTTTTGAATCGTGTATAAGGATCAGTGTGCTACACCCGCAAGATTTGTTTGACGATGTAAGCATTTATTTGTGATCTTGTTAAGCTTGAATTGTCTTTTATACCATCGGATATATCACCAATATCGTTTGCTTGCGTACGGTAGTTTTCGAGAGAGAAAAATGTGTACAAGTTGAACACATTTATCGTATGTATAAGAAAACATACATTCCCAAAATGACATCGTTTTAAGAAGAACACCTTGCTTACACTACAGGAGCTCTACCAAGTTCCAATACATGTATTTGGCCTGGTTTTTTGGATCAGTCTCTCTCTCTCTCTCTCTCAAAGGTAAGTGTGTTTTATGTTTTGTGTAGGGTATACAAATGGTAGGTCAACATGGATTTGATTTGAACTAGACCAATTAGTTTAGGGAGGTTTAGTATCAGAAATTTAAAGTTTAGAGGATGATGTGTCACCACTCCCCAACCCAAATTACATGGGGCGATATGTATCTGAATTTGACACAAAAATTATTAAGTTGTGGTTGCAAAATCGGCTTTTCTTTATTAGATATTTCAATATTACAATGGACTAACAATAAGAAAAATAAATAAATAAGGTTTTGTCGAGTTTAATTAGAAATAAAATAATGCTTTGATTTATTTTAAGAAAGATACAGTCATGGTTAGCGGCACAGACAAGTTTCAAAGTTGCCATTAAATTCCGAGGATCGAGTCTCCTATGTGATTTTATAGGTAACATTTTTCAGCCAAGAACTTCAGTTATTGGCCAAATAGGGTAAATATAAATGGAAATGAAATAACGAACAGACTTAGGCTAAAAAAATAAATCTTAGGCTAAAAAAATCAATCTTAGGCTAAAAAAATAAATCTTAGGCTAAAAAAATCAATCTTAGGCTAAAAAATAAATCTCTCTCTCTCTCTCTCTCTCTCTCTCTCTCCCAAATGGGTGTGGTTGCACTCCTGTGTTTAGGGTAGGGAAAGTGAAGAGAGTTGCTAGGGGGATGACTCCATTGAACAATGCCCCTTCACTTTTCTTGTCAGGTTTATTTGTGTGATAAGAGTTTGATCTTGTAGAGGTTAGATAGTGACTTAGTGGTAAGGGCTTACCCTCGTCCATAGGCAATTACAGGTTCAAAACTCGTCTCAAGAAAAAAATTATTAATGAATTGGAGAGGCACAAATTGACTCAATGTGAGAGAGAAACTGAAGAATCAACAGATTGGGTGGGTGTTCGATTGGTTTGTCAATCAATCACTTGTCAAAAAATGGTCCCATTGAAAGGAAATTCAACTCTTGGCATTAGATTCTCTAATTTTAAGACTCACAAAGAGTTTAATGTATACGAATTATTACTAATTTTGTCCTCATCTCGAGATCTCAAGTTTGAATCTCACAAGAGATAACTAACTTGACTCAATACAACTAATTTTTGAGTGAATACACACATTCTAAAAAATATACATGAAATCGATAACATTTATTTATCCATTGAAAGCCTAATTTATAAATCCATTGTGCTTGAAATATGGCATTGTAATCGCAATGGTGTTGTAACCAGACAGGATGGTGATGGCTTTTTAAATTCCTAATAATAAAGAACCCAAAAATTTTAAATTAAAAATGAAGGTGCCATGCTATTGGAAAGTCAAACTAAATAGAAGAGAAGATGCTACCAAACCCTCTTTTTAAACAATAAGGAGAAGAACAAAACACAACAAATCTTTATATAAAATTCCTTTCAAGGCCAGCAAAAGTCTATTCTTGTGTCATGGTTATCTTTTTGTTAGCCTCATCCTCAACTCCCTAGCCAACATCATCTCAGTAGTGATTATTGAATTAATAATACTTATACAAGCTTTTATTTTTTACTTTTCACATTTTTTTCCTTGTGAATTGGTAATAAGTCAGGTTTTTTATTTTTTATTTTTTGTTGGAATCCAATAATAGAGTAAGCTAAATAATATTTAAGTGAAAGAAGAAAGAGGAACATTATCTACTGGGGAACTTCTTGCAGTTCAAAAGATTGAGTGCTAACCAAGGAAGGCTAGAGCATTGAACTTTAGCTATCCAGTCAGGTTTCATCTCCTCACTTACCCCCTTACACTACCTTGGGAAGGCATATATGAAAGTACTCACTTGAGTACAGAGAATAACATCATAGAAGTTTTTTTATTTTTATTTTTTATTATAATTATGGAGAGGCACCCAAAATTGGTATAATCGTTTGGGATATGTTGCTCTATCGATGTACGACAAGTTCTAATATTCCTTATACGTCACTCCCAATCGATTGTCGATTGGTAAATTGAAGATCGCTTGTACTAATGTGAATAGAAGATCTAGAAAATAGAATCAAAATATAATAAGGAAAATTTGTGAAACGGACAAATAAGACTTAACTACAATGAAATCGACGTTCATGACCAAAAGCCTCTAGCTAGTAAACCAACTTTGATACCACGCTAAAACACATTCGTCTCAAAATACATGAATAGATCTACAAGATTCATTTAGAAAGTGAAGTCATGGCTAGATGTAGGCAAATAAGGAAGATGACAAATAACAAGAGGGGCTAATGGAGAAGGGTAGACATAGATAGGCCTTCTCTGTGGTCCATATTATGCTGTCCACTGTTTATATTGGTGGGAAAAAAGTTGTCTAAATCTATCTATTTTCTAGAGGGTGAGTCATAGCTTTCTGATAAGGTTGTTTAATACTAATTTGAATGTCATGTGCTTTTGAGTCACAGAAAGGGTCTCATGCGAAGGTTGTTTAAGAATAATTTGAATGTATGGGTTGAATCACAGAAAGAGTCTCATGCACTCAACCTCGTACATTAAGTTGTCCAAAACTGTCGCTCTGCTGCTGGTGTATCTGGGCTATTCATGCAATAGAATAGTACCTACCCATTTGACAGTTTGGTTTGTATACAAAGCTGAAGGGGATCAAACTGGATACATTAAAAGGCCAGGTGCTCAAACTCAAAAGAGGCTTGAATTACAATTGGGCCAGGGTTGGGTTTTTCATGCTTTTGAGTTTTTTTTTTTTTTTTGAGACTTTTTTTTCCTCTTTTTTTTTTTTTTTGGGTAAGTTGGGAGAGTACTTGCTTCTTCTTCCTTTTTTTCCACCCCTCTTTTTTTTATGCTCGATCTATAAATTTTCTTTCTTCACAAAACAGATTTTCTTTCACCTTTTTCATTTTATTTGACCTTTATATACCAAGGCATGTTTGGTTCAAGTATAAATAAAAGATGTGATTTGGGTAATTAGTTTCCATCCAATCCAGAAAATGGTGTTAAGAAGTGTACTATTTAATTTTATCATTGTATAACAAATTTGGATCAAGGTTGGGATAATATATAAATCTATAATTATAATACTAAATTTATATCTGGGTTAAGTAATAGTGTATGATATTAAATTAAAAATGACAAAAAAAATATTAAGGGTAAGAATTTACATAATGTATAACTTTTATAAGAAAGTGTGACTCTAAGTTTGTAAGGATAATAAAATCATTGAATTTTTAATACTTGTTAAAAATAATACCACCTATTACATAATATTTATTACTACCTATTATTAAATGTTAAGTGACTATAATGATCCGGGTCGGGATTAATTAAAATTAATACTGGATTGCTATAACCTTATCTCAACTAAGTAACAGTGGACAACAAGCCTGCGTGGAATGTGACAGTCGCCAACGAATGTCTATGCACTCAAGAGAAAGTGAAACTATCTTGCCTTTGATTTCAAATTGTAAACAAAGTACGTAAACCCTAAAGTCTTGTCCAAGTTTGGCAATCTGCATCATCAACAATGGCATTCTCATCTATGGATATGCTTCAGTCAGCAAAACTTATGCTTGGAACCATTCTTTTGTGGTGTCATAATCAGCATAAGCAGCAAAAGGTGTTTGTTTTACGCATGTAGGAGCTATGTTTGCAGACCTTGACGGGTATTGAAGAGAACTAGCATTGGAGACGATCTCAATCTCAAAGGAACCATATTTAAACAGTTCACTACCCGACAAGGTTTCATATGATTTGACAAATATTCCAAAATATAACGATGTAAGGTAAGATATAATGATGAAGAAGCTGTTAATAGAAACCTTAAACAAGGTCCATTAATATCGGATACTGCATATTTCCCTACTCTGTGCAAACAGAGAACCCGAACAAGAACCACCCCTTTCTGTGTTCCTACTAAACCCAAATTCCCACCCTACTCACCAAAAGAAAAAGGCAAAATAATGCAAAAAAAAAAAAAAACTCATTGTTCTCATTTCCTCTTCTTAGCAGGGGGCTGGGGAATCTCTTCCTCCTCTTCTTCCTCATTGTTGTCCTCGTCGTCATCATCGTCGTCGTCATCAGTATCATCATCGTCATCATCATCATCATCATCATCGTCGTCGTCGTCCTCCTCCTCACTTACACCCTCGCCAGTGGCCTCGGGCTTATCTTCAGGATCCCCTCCACCATCATCATTATTTCCCTCTTCACCTGATAATTTATCCTCCTTGCCATCAAGATCCTCATTCTGTTCATCCTCACCATCATCGCCCTCGTCATCAACTTCAGCTTCACTGGCATCTTTAATCTCTGGATCAGGCTGTTTTTCCATGTTACGATCAGGTATTGAAACCCTGCAACATGATCAATTGTCCAATTGAGATCCTCATTTTATAGTAGCAATCAAGGAACCAAAACAAGTCAAAACATCCACCTTTCAATAGCATTAGGTTCCTTGAGGAGCACATCAATGTCACTTGGCAAAGATCCCATCTGAAACAAACCCATAAACATGCTGATTACATATGCAGCAAATATCCGTGACCAAAAAAAAAAATTCCACAAAGCACCCATATTGGACAAGCATCAAAGACATGGGGAAGTACATATAAAAGGATTGTGCAACAGTTAGATAAATAGACATATCTTATCAAGAAGTGCCATTTTTGGTATTGCATATTTAATAACCAAAGAATGATTATGGCAAAGGTTTAACATGATAACGACTACTTAGATAAAAACAGATAACGGAAAGAAATTATAAAAATAAAGACCAAAATCTCTTTTTGAAACTATAAAACTTCAGACGTCAAAAGAGTTAAAACTGTAAATGGGATTTAAGCAACTTGGATAATGAAGACTGAAATCTAACCACCAATGGTATGCACAAAAATACCTCACTTCTATTCAAGCGAGTCGAAGTTACCAAGCATATAAGCTACAATTCAACCTTCCTATGCAAGCAGAAATAAAGAACTCGTTCTCTTGAGAGTTAACAAGTCACAGTCGTATTTCTTACTAGCCTGATTGGGGCCTCTGGGACACCAATACACGAGTGACAAAAACAAGAAAACCAATGAACACATAATAGTGTAGATAAAGGAGGAAAAATACACCAAAATGATTATTTGTAGGGCAAAAAGTATTTTCACAATAATTATTCTTAGAAAGCTTAGCTTGATGATGACAAAATTCTGCCCAAGGAGAGGACAGAATGCAAAATACTTCAAGTTCGGATGCAAACAGATTTACAACAAAACCTAATGCCATTTCATTAAAAAAAACTGAAAAGGTATATGATGAAATAGCATACAAGAATTTCAACCAATACACAAGTATTTTTAGCTCTCAAATATATCGTACATATTTGTGTGCTAGCAACAAAGACATTGTGTGACAAGTAATCACTACATAAAGTATAGAAAAGCATCCCTGCGAAACAGCAGGAAATAAACAACTCTTTAAAACAATAGAGATTGGAATTGCTTGTTTTCTGGAAATGTCTCAGTTGAACCTGAGTTGTCAGGCCGATATCTAAAAAATCAAACTCAATAAAGGTAAGCCAAAAAAGGTCAATCAAGAGAGGTGAGAGGAAAGATAACTTATTAATTGCCTTAATTCCTCGTTACATACTTAGGTGGAAACAACATAAATACAGGAAAACATTTGTCGAGTCTGAAAGAATCTCGGGTAAACCTTTAAAAATTTAACGTCTCTCATTTCCCTTATTAATTTATTTATCTTCTTTCCCACTTTGTAGTTCTGAAAAAACAATGTATGCCACAATTGATTGCAATAAATTAACAAAAACAAAAAAAGAATTAAAGCCTACCTATGTATTGTTTGACTTTTCACAAGAATCACAAAGCGTGGTAAAGCCAAAATGCCTACACATTCAATGTTTAGTTTAATTGGCTTTTAAACATCATTAAATATTTGAACCGAACAGAGTTAGTTCCTCTTTTTCTCTACTTTATTGGCTAATAGACAAAAGGCTAACTAGCTAATTATATACGATAGATGATAAAAAAATATGATTATTCAATTATTATATACTCAAACAAAATAATTAGCATTATTCTGCAAAAGGAGAGTATGGACAAATAAAAATATCCGTTCTGATATACCTAATCGCGCACAAATGAAAAACAAAGGCAACACAAATACCAATCAAGAGAGAATTAATCAGAAACACTAGGTAACAAATTAAGCAGAAACACAGGTATGTACACCACCACTAAAATCATAACATCTGCAGAGATATCCATAGGGACTACATTAAGACCCTTGTCCACGACACTAAAATTTACAGCTAAAAAATGAAAAAAACTAAATCAGAGCAATACAACCCTAGCATTCAGAGGCACACATGCACAAAATATAAAACCCAATGACGCACTCCCACAATAGAAAATTTCAAATTCAAAACAGAAGCAACTAGAATAAATTATAGCAACGCCTGTTATTCAAAGATTTCCCATTATGATCGAAATCAAAACCCCACCTACTATAATCACACAGGCCACAGCTCAAAGATTTCAATATATATACCACAAATAATCAAAATCAGATAGCCAACCATATGACCCAATTTTTTTAAAAAAAACCAATTATCCGAATCCACATCAGAAAAATTCCAACTTCACAACAGGAACAAATCAAGAAAATGTAGAAACACAGAAAAAAATGGAGAAAACCAGAAAGAATGAGTGAGTGACTGAGTAAGGGGGTGTTTGTGTTATATATACCATGAAACAAAGGCAAGCAAGTGACTTGGCAGCTAGAATGACACTCTTAGCCACCAAAGCCTCCATAGCAGAGCACACAAGCCTATCCACCACAGCAACGTCAGAGCACAAGCCCTCCATCTCCATACCTACAAAAAAGACCTAGAGAGTAGCAGTAAGTGTATAGAGAATTTATAGCGAGTAAGCGAACATAAGCACTTTGAATAGGAGAGAGAATCAAAGAAAGAAACATGGAAACTCCATAAAACCCTAAAATGGGTCTGCAAATATGGTGTTTATGTATATACAATCTTGGGTTTTTGAATTGACAGATGAGAGATAGTTTGACAGATAAGACCACAGTACTAAAAATTAATTATTATTATTTATTATTTTGAACTAAGTACTATTATTTGGAAAAATAAATAATGTTTGATTATAAACTTTACTTTGATTTACTTATAATTATTAAACAAAAATAATTAAATTAATCTAATAAGATAGACTAGTTTTAGCTTAATATCAAATTTAGCAAAAGTTGAGAATTTATTAATTAACTTATGATCTTCAACACGATTACCCGTGTGTTTAATTTCAGAGTGAGAGTAGAATAAAATATACCATGTTATAAAAAATGACGAGTTTTATGTAGTTATGAGTATTTATTTAAGATAAAAAGCGAGGAGGGATGTTATAAGTATGCTAAATATGGACACCAATCCCTCTCTTTTTATTGGTACTATAATAATGCAAATTCTTTTGGGGGCTAATTTCCATTTTAATTGTTTAGGCTATTTGGGCTATAATTGATAACTAATACAGCCTTCTATTTTTATTTCTATTTAGTTTGACTCTTGACCAATTGTCAAAATTTTGAGAGAATAAAAAATAATTAATAAAAACAAAACTTTACACTTCAAACCTTAGATCTTAGAAATTAGCATAATTTTTGTAAATATTTTCTTAATTAAGTGATTTTTCAATTTCTCATGTTTCGGTCTTTTAGAGTTTAAGATTAAGTTATAATTGTTTTGAAGTGCAAGTTATAATTTCAAATTGCATAATCAATCGCAAAATATAATGTGGTAGTAATGATAGTGGTGATGACAGTGACAGTTGTGGTGCCAGGATGTATTTTTTTTATCCAATAATTCGTTTTAGTAAATTATCATTTCTTTGTAGTCATATATTTAGTCGATATGAGTTGATATTTAATATTTTTTTAACTAAAGATGACATTTACTTAACCACTTGTATACTCAATTTTTTTAACAGATTTCCAAATATAAATTAAATTTTTTTCACATATAACGCACATGATGCATTACTAGTCGGTAAAAAAGAAAAATAATGGCATATATTCTCGCTATCTTAAAAAGAGGCCTTGACTTAAGTTAAAAAAAAGGATATGCATGTGTAAAATAAGCCCTTGAATTATTTTAAATATGAAATATTATATATAATTACTATAAAGATAATGAACATCTTATTATTAGAATAAATATATAAAAGATTGTAACTTTAATAACCGACATGACAAAAATAAAATATAAAATTCTCAAAATATGATAATTATTTACACGGTATTCATGTTGCATTTGTAAAGATATTAAAAGACATTATATTCTCAACTCAATGAAACATAGCCTCTACTCATTTGGAGTTGATCACGTGAATGTTGTGATCTATAAGAAATTTCATGTTAATTTTACAAAACCATGCAAACCTACAACTATTTTTTGTCACTATGATACATTGTAGTGCTGTCATTCTTATCATTTCGCTAGCTTGGTTGCTAGTCCAACACACGACATGTTATGTACCAGGAAATTACTAGGAATATGAGAGGACAACATGTTGGTTGAGCAAGCCCTTCGAGTTCTCATGTCAATGTGGCAACAATCCTTAGTCACAAATGAAGGTTACTGAAAAGATGTATCAATCATGACATTATAATCCGACTCCCTCCAACTCTAGAAAAATTGTTTGCATTTAAAACCCAACACAAAGTTGAGGGGTTGACTTTTGTGCAAATGCAACACGAGGGTTGTTATTAAAATCTGTAAGGTTGAAAACAATTAAATAGAAGATAGTATGGTTCCCACGTGACACGAAATAGGAGTAAAAGAGCACAGTGGACTTGATAACTAACTATATACTGCTTTTTAACCTAATAGTGAAGATCAACAAAATAAAGAAAACATAGAGAAATGATCAAACTTCTTTGATTCAAAGAAAGTAACTCAATACTTCGATTTAAAATGACACAGAGCTCGTACCCAAAAAAAAATAATACAAAAAATTCAAAAACAAGGAAAAAAAAAACCTTTTGACGGGGCAAGATATTATAGAGAATGTATCCAGAGTATTGATTTCAGCATGTGGCAAGGTCTTGTATGCTAAATGATTTGCAACAAGATCAGACTGAGCTAAAATTGGTTGGTCCAAAGATTAAGTGCCGATCTGTGGGCAAGACCGAGCAGAATTAAGGAATTTAGCATCCCTAACCAAGCTTGGCAAAGTAATTGCTAATCATTAGAAGATTGAGAAAACCAAATAGGAAAACCTTAACAAACATCATCAATAATCCCAAGGAATTAGCTAATTAGGGAGCTGATGGACATTTTCGAAATACTCAAAGATGAAAACACGTGTTATCGGTGTCACTAATCCTTGTTACCGAGATCACGTACCCATCGGTTCACAAGTTCTCTCTCCCCCGAGGCATTTATCATAGGGATCAAGTGGCATCCAGTACGTTTTTATGTACCGACACGTACCCCTCGGTCTGATATGGTACATCGGTCGCTAGGCCTCCCCCTCTCGGCTCCGAGATGTACTTCTTCCTCGGTACCGAGATATACCCCCTCGTCCAGGATGCCGTTCTCTGCTCCAACAGAGGCTGTTGATGTACAGGTCACTAGCCTAGGCTAGGCTAGGTTAGCTATCATGACCTCGTCTTACGCAATTGGTGTCAGAAGGCACAGAGGGCAGGGGACACAGCCAATGGGGAATGGACGCGTGCATATTGTGTCACATCAGAGACAGAAAGACCGGATGCCCTTGCTGACATACGACTTGGAAAAACAAGCATTTAATTATACCATTCCTTTGATGAGACAACATTTAATGCGGTAAGGCTCGGAAGTGAAAGATAATAAATGTCTCTAAGGCTAGACATTTATTACATCCTTGCAGAGAGGAGTTCATTGAACCGTCAGCAGGCCGATGACACAGTCTTGATTGCTCGGGGTCCCGAGCAGTTAAAAGAGAAGACATTCCTCGTAGGAATCAGTGCGCACGTTGCCTGTATCTAATGATCACCTACTGACCACACTGACAGCAATCATGAGTATTTGAGGTATAAATACTCACAAAAGGCAAGACAAAGGAGGTGAAACCTTTGCTACAAATTATACTCAGTGTTTTATTCTTCCTCTCTCTCAAAAACTGATTTGATCGTCGGAGGGGATACGCCGAAAAATACTTCGGCGCCCTTCTAACTTGTTCTTCTTTATTCCAGGAACCTTTCTTCAGCCTTACTGGATCGTTCCGTTGATCCACGAGGGTCTCCCATTACCGTTTCAGGTTACCACCAGACCTCACAGGCTGTTCCAAGCAGTGGGGTTGACCACTCGACTGACTCACTCGAGTTCACCAAGGGAGAGATCTGTTCTCGTATTTATATTGTGCAAGATCCAGCACGCACAATCTGGCGTCGTCTGTGGGAAATGACTAGTTTTTCTAGTTTTTTCTCTATAAAGAACAGTGACCATGGTGAACACTCGACAAAAAGGGAAAGGTCCCCACCAAAGAAGTCTCGAATTACAATCTCCCTGTCACCATGGAGGGAGGGATCACACTGATGGAAATAAAAATGCCTCTACTCAGTCAAGAGGGGTTACCCCTCAAACCAGTATGGGAATCAGGTCAGGAGGATCAGCCCTCCTTGGCTCGTCAGCTGGTGGAGGTGATCGAAGAAAAGTTTGGCGATAGATTACGACAGCTGGAAAAGGACAATGTAAACGTCCTAAGCCGGCTCAAAGAATTTGCCGCCTCTGGCGAAAGGTCGAGGGACTCATTCCTTTCTCGTGGGCTCCCCGCCCGGGAGGCGGAAATGAAGGATCTAAGAAATTATCTAAACAACAAGGCAGAAAGCTCCAGGGCCCCAAAGCGACCGAGAGCCAACGAGCACCCTCCTAACGACCATTCAAGGAAGGCAAGACCATTAGCCCTGGACGACCTCCGGCGAGGATTGTCTAGACGGAGGAAGGGAGATGAGTCCGAGGAGGATTCTACCCTATCCACACGGCGCCAGGAAATGGGGGGCCTATTGATGAACTTAAGGACTTTAGAAGACATCCCGTCAGGGAGGAAATTGATCTCAGAGCCCGGTTGGAATCTAGGAGAAAGAGTAAGGTTGTCCAGGATGAGGTCGAAGACGAGGTCATACAAACACCCTTTATCAGGGAGATCGGAGAGATGGAGGTTTCAAGAAAGTTCGTCGTGCCGAGGTTCAAAACTTATGACGGGCGGTCCGATCCTGAAGCCCATCTCAGGCAATACAAGCAGATGATGTCCCTCTATCATTCAGACCAACGGTTCCTCTGCCGAGTGTTTCCTATGAGCTTGGAGGACTCTGCGATGAAGTGGTTCGAGGCGCTTCCCCCCAACAGTATTGGATCGTGGAAGGAATTGACGAGGCAGTTCCTGGCTCGATTCATTACGGGGAGTAAGCGGCCTAAAGACGTTGGATCATTGCTAACGCTCAGACGTAGGGAATCCGAGACCCTTCGCCAGTATGCCATCCGGTACTGGGAAGAGGTCAATGAGGTAGAAGGCTGCTCGGAAGTCATGGCAGCGGCGTTTTTTAGGCTCGGCTTGGCAAGGGACACGGACCTGTACCGATCCCTGACCAAGAAGACTCCCTCGGATATGGGCGAGCTGATGGCCCGGATAAAAAAATACTCAAGGATCGAGGACGAGATGGGAAGCAGCAAAGGCCGAACCCTCCAATCTAAGAGAAAAGAGAGGGAGCGGGAGGATACTCCCCGAAAGGGACTGCTACCCCCTCCAGGGGGGTCGTCCAAAGGAGTTCACACTATGTTCAAGGAACCCATCTTCAAGCTGCTCCATAAGATCAAGCATGAGCCGTTCTTCAAGTGGCCGCCCAGGATGCAGAGCGATCCCTCCACCCGTGATCAAAAGGTTAGGTGTTCCTATCACCGGAATTTCGGACATCGCACCGAAAGCTGCAGGGTATACAAATCGTTCTTGGAAAGATTGGTCCGAGACGGATACTTGAAAGA